GAACTATTGTGCACCTTAAGCTTTAAACTTATGCACTTATTAGAGTTTGAAAGTCGTTATTCATAAGGAAAAAAAGTTGTGCACCTTACGAGTTATATTAATGTACATGTTATATATTTACTTATTTTTCAAATATGACTTAGGTACATAATTTGTGTTCGTAGATACAAAATTTCATAATACAAGACATAAATTTATAACATAAGACACAATTATTAATTTGTTCAAAGTATAGAATTCATATTCTTAAGATACAGAATTTCATAACGTGATTCATAGTACAGTGTGAACTCTGGTCCATGGTATAACGATTGGACAACAACATAAATATAATTTTGTTGTTTTCATGAAAATTTTCAAACATTCGATAATTGCGTTATTATAATATATATTTAAAAATATACGGAGTAATATATAAAATATTCTCAAGTATCTATTTCTTTAATTTATTTGAAAGGTCCGAGCACAATATCGTATGGATCTTTCTCACGATAAATCAATCTTATATTATTTCACTTTTCATTAATCAATGAATAGAATAATATAGTTACAAATTTTCTACATCATCAACAACCAAACACAGCTAAAAATAGCAACTAGTATATCAATGGTGATTTAATATTCTCAAATAAATGGATAAATACATCTTATACATACTCGTGAATGTGTGAGGTAGGTTTTGAAGAAAGTCTATTTGTCTCTTTCTACCTAATAGACTAGAGTTCATGATCACAGAATGTAGAGTTTTATTCATGTGACCTTTTTTTAAAAAAAAAAAAATTATTTTTATTGTAACACCAAATTGATAATAAGAACCTTTAAAGTTACAATCATATAAATTAAAATTGCATCAAAAGTTCAATAAAATAGTCAAATTCAAACTTTAATATTACGTAACATCTTAATTGATTAATAGAACTCAAAATTTCACGTATTAGCATTAAAGGCAGCAATCAAAACTAAAAAGTCTATAACATCATAAAATGTTGAAAAGATAATGTCAACCCCATAGAATATATACGTGTGTATAAGGAGTTCAACCACTTGTCACCTGAATTCATTACATTATGACATTGTGTTTATACATTAGCATATAGGAAAAACATTTGGCCATATGTTTTTTTTTTTTTTAAAGGTGAGAATATTTCTCTCTAAAAAGTGTGGATATATCCACACCCTCTATATCAATAAATCAAATGTTAAGATTTTACTATTACTAATCTTTCAAGTTTGTAATAATTATAAAATGAAACCCGCTCTTAAAAGATTTTAAAAATTATAAAATTAATCTTTTTTTTTTTTACAAAAATCATAATCTGTTGATTAACCATGATGAGCGGGTGGGATTGGTCTTTGCTTGTTACAAGAGGATCATGCCCTTATTTGATAATGCCTCTATATATAAATGGTGATGTTCCAATGAGAACCACTCAATCCGTAAGAACATGAGAACCGATCCGGTACATTAAAAAAAGATAAATCTATGGATAAGATTAATTGAAGAATAAAAACGTGCGTGTGCATATGAAGCGTTATGATGTGTGCATATTAAGCATGTGGATATATTAATCATGTGTTGTGTGCAAATGGGATATGCACACATAACACATGCTTAATATGCACACGTGCATTTTTAATTCCCCAATTAATCTCATCCATAGATCTATCTTCTTTAATGCACCAGATTAGTTCTCATGTTCTTATGAGGAAAGTGGCTATGATATGATCACACACACACACACACACACACACACACACACACACACACACACACACACACACACACACACACACACACACACACACACACACACACACACACACACACACACACACACACACACACACACACACACACACACACACACACATATATATATATATATATATATATATATATACTTGCGCTCACATGAAAACACCCTCTCACATAAAACTTGGATAAATCTTAGCTATAAAAACAAGTGATCAACGACTATGATTAAAAGTTAACACCCTAAATTTTTGTGCATAATCAGCAATCCAAATCCCCACACAAATATCAATTAAGAGGCAAATTAGTCCAAGTAAAATTTTAAATTTAAGTCTTCTACGACAAAATAAGAGTTTCTATATTATTAAATACTTTCATTTAAATAATAAATTATTATTATTATTAAATATAAGAAAATCTGATTGTTTTGTTAATGTTCGGTGCTTTAATTTAGTGAGACAAACATATGGAGCAGACGACAGTAGCATGAGATGTTGTGTTGTGCTTTGGGCGACTATGTGCACTCATGCACATCATCGTTACACCATAGAATATCACTATAATCGCATGCCACACTTATACATTACATTATGCACACATTCACATTGAAATACACACATACACATCCTGTACACCACAAACACATGATAAGTTTATAATGCGCACACACATCACATGAACACAAAGTGCACACTAATCCACGATAAGGTACACATATACTATGAAAACTCAGCAGCGAGGAGTGACAGTCCAAAATGCAAATGCACACCTACAGTGGCCATAGTGCGCATCAGTACCTTGCCCGCGAAAACTACACATAGGTCAATTATAAATATAGACAATATTATACTCAAACAATAGACAATTAAAAAAATGTAAAAATGAACTTCAGTCAATGGTTGAGTAAAATATATATATGTAGAAGAAGAAAAATTTGAAGTAAAATTGATAAAGAACTTCATGCGAAAAGAAGAGTACATAAACAAGATAATACAAACCTATCATAAATTCATTTCCTAAATTATGCATAACAACCATATAAAATACTATGCATATTTAAAATAAGCGTAAATACCCTAATTACCCCTCTGCAAATTACCAAAATTTAAATTTTAAAAGTAAAATAAAAATCATAAAACCACAATAATTTTTATATAGAAATGTGTTCTCATATGAACACACACACACACATATATATATATATATATAGTGTGAGAGAGTGTGAGTGTGTGAGAGAGAGGGTTCAAATAAGTAAAAAGAGGCGTCAGGTAAAACAAGCGGAGAGATCTAAACGGTTCATCTTGCTAAGTATATAATTACTCAGTGTGTATTCTATATCACTATATATGTTATTCAACCGACCAATCCATCTAAAGAATAACAAAAAATAGTAAAGCAAAAAACATCACCCAAAAAAAAAAAAAAAAAAAAAAAAGTTGGAGGGGGAAATGAAGGCTATGTAGAAATTGCAAAGAGACAACAGGTTTATAATCATTTTATCCACCTACGTTTCAGTGGAGGACTGGAAGAGAGATTCTCTGTAGGTTCTCAATAATAACCTCCCGGCCACTTGAACCTTTCTCAGACAGACATTATTGACTTGGTCAAACATCTGCTAATCCTATTTAAGATACCAAGTACACCCAACTAATCTTTTCTGCTTAACTCAAGGGTCATTGCTGAAACCTATCGCCCGTTGTTTAATTTAATGTATGCATTTAACACGTACTCTTTCTTAATTAAACCCCACCTAATACTGCTCTTATTTTCCTCATATTTTGGTGAAGTTATATTCTCTGTGATGTGCAGTGTGACAATTGAACACTACTTTTTGTAGTAGATATTTAGTTTGTGGTACGGTTGACAAAATTTATTTGGTTACAATTAACGTGAAGAAATTATAATTATATTTTTCAATTTAAAAAGTTACTATAATCTAAATGTTTAGCACATCATTTTGAATAACAAAAAAGAATTGTCGAATAATAGAATATCAACTATTATAAGTAGAAATATAGCAATAGTATTTTGTAGATACACTAAGGAGATGTTTGGTTCATGGAAAAATGTTTTCCAAAAAAAATATTCTTCTTAAAGTGGAGGAAAATGTTGTTTTTTGGTGTTTGGTTCATAGAATTCATTTTTCATTGGAAAATAAATTCTTCAAATTTGAACAAAACAAAATTCTTGGTTGGACCAAGGATTTTGTTTTCCATGAAAGAGATAGGAAGAAAAAGTGATATGATTTGACTATTTTACCCTTATTTTCTTTCTTAATTATATTACTCTTATTAATTTGTAAGGGCACATATAGGTCTTTATATTTGTTATTTCTTACCATTCCAAATCTAACCAAACAATAGAATTAGTATTCCCAGTAATTCTTTTTCCACCAACCAAACAATGAAATTTATCTTCCTAGTAATTGTTTTTCCATGGAATTTCAATTCCACTTCCCTTAAAATATTTTCCGCGAACCAACGAGCCCTAAATAGTTTCACTTTAACCATTTATAAAAAGTCACAGGCCTTGTTTGGTAACATAGTTAGCGTTAATTTTAGTTTATTTGACCACTATTAGTTGTTTGACTTGATTAAACAATCAATATAATTATATAAGTGTTTGGTTAATTAGCTTTTTGTAACACCTTATTGATCCAAAATACTAAAATTCAAAAAGCTAGTTAGAGTAGCTATTTCAATTAGCTTCTTAGAAAAGTCATTTTGCATGTAATCAGCTATCGACTAATTTACCAAACTCTTTTTCTACAACTAATGTTATTAACTAGTGAAACTCACTAATCTAATCAGCTAGTTAACAACTATTTACCAAACACTCAGACAGTGTTTTTTTATTTATTACCATTGGCATTCTTATTATAAGGTACTATAGAATTATTCTATAATCTTATTGAAGATGTACATATGATATAGGAGAGAAAATAAAAAAAATTGTAATTAATTGTGTGAAGGAGGGAGGGGTGGGGGGGGGGGGGTTGAGGGTATTTGGGAGGGGCAGGAGATATATATACATACGTATAAGGTATGGATGGTGGCTGGGCAATTTGCGTCGTATACCTTTCAACCATCTTGTCCAAAATGGCATCATACCCACCTCATTCTATCATTATCACGTAGCTAGAAAAGCAGAAAAAGAAAAGCTAATTACTCAATTTGAAGCCTTAATTTAATAATTAATTAATAGTAGTGGTTTTGTTAGTATTCGACGCTTGCCCCTATCCTACTACCATTTTTTATTTGCAGTATTTCGCAAAAAGCTAATCCAGGTCTACGCATACTTAACCTCTGATCTTTTTTCCCAGTTTTCACACTGCAATTCTAAGCCACAAAACCCATCCCCTCTCTCTCTCTCTATTTGACCCTCTTCGCCATTTTCTCTCTCAAAACCTACACACTCCCTCTCCCATGGCGACCCCACCGTGATCTCTTTTCTGTGAGTTCAAGTTCAACCCTTTGAGCTCCAGCCCTTTCTCTTTTTGAGGGTTCATTGATTAAAACCCATCTCTCTCTCTCTCTCTCTCTCTCTTGTTCTCTCTGATGGTGAAGAGAAAACCCTAGCGAGGGAGCTCAACTGCAACCCAAATTTGGCAAAGAAAGTATCAGTAACGGAGAAGCACAGACATATATATATTTATATATATACATCTGTCTAGGTGTGAATGCTTTTGTTGAGATCGAGACAAAGGTGAAAAAAGAGCGCATGGAAAGGACTACTGTAGCTTCTTCTTCTTCTTCTACTACTTCTAGTTCTTCTGCTTTGTACTGTCACCTTGTTTGCAGATCATCATCATCATCAGTCTGATCTTCGGTGAGCTTTAATTACTCTTTTATCAGTACTTTTTTCTGAATCTCTCTCTCTTCTTTTTGTGTTTTTTGATTTTCTGTTTATTGGTCTTAGCTTTTTTCGTCTACTGAGAAGAGGAGAGAGAGGAGAGAGAGATGGATTCTGGGAATAGTGGGAGTCTACAGTCGTCGAGCGGCGGCGATGAGGAGTACGATTCACGTGGCGATTCGTTCTCGGCTTTCATGACCAAAACGGCGGCGGCCGGACACATTACTCATCATCTCTCACAACCGCCGCAAACCGCCATGTTCAGCCCGCTATTATCCAACTATTTCGATCCCACTTTACAGCCTCCCACGTTTTCCGACCAAAACTCAATCCCGCTTCTCAATTTGGATATGGCTTGGTCCAGAACCCTAAGATCCGACCCATGTTCCCCTCAGATCAACCCCGCCGTCTTGCCCTCCGCGGGTTCTTCCGCTCATCAGAAGGTGGGGGTGGGGGTGGGGGTGGGTGGCGTTTCATTCCCGTCTACGGCGGAGGCGCATGCTAGTGGCAGTGTTACGGCGGCGGATGCGGCGGCGGCGGGGAAAGATCACGGTCGTGTTATGCGTAACCCCAAGAAACGGTCTAGAGCTTCAAGGAGAGCGCCGACTACAGTGTTAACCACGGACACCACCAATTTCCGAGCCATGGTTCAGGAATTTACCGGGATCCCGGCGCCGCCTTTTACTTCCTCGCCGTTCCCGAGAACCCGGTTCGATATTTTCGGCACTCCATCGGCCCTGAGATCCGCCGGAACTCACTTGAACACTTCCCAACCGCCTTATCTCCGACGGCCTTTTCCCCAGAAGATTCAACAGCCACCGCCACCGTTTCTCCCGCCGCCGCCTCTCGATTCTTTGGCTTCATCCAGCACTAACAATCTCTTCACCATTCCACACAACTCCATCCTCTCATCTCTCCTTCAATCCTCCCCAAAATACCCCCGAGATTCACTAGAAATCCCGCCAAGCAAAATGGGCATTTTGGACGAGTTCGGTTCCGTCAACACCGCTCTCACCGGCCTCCCCAGCCTCATATCACCGGACCAAGCCGTCGCCGCCAGTTCCCGGAGGAGCGAAACCGGTTGGGGTGGCGGCGGATTGAGACCAACCGCTAATGATGATCAACTTCCTCATCATCACTTCTCCAACAATGGTGAAAATAACGGCAACCACAATATTCCGACCGCCTCTTCGAACTTCCTAGGAGACAAGGCGCCGGAAAACGTGTCGGGCAGAGGTGAAGGTATGACGGAGTCGTGGATTTGTTCTTCAGACTTGAAATGATTGCACCATTGAAAGTTATATGCAACACACATTTATCATCATCATCATGATTGTTATGATCAAAACGAGGAACAAAAGAAAAAAGAGGTTAACTAGTGCATGTTCTTCATCATTTTCCTTAACCATAACTTAATTATCACAAAACATCATTAAAAACCCCAAAAAAAAACCTCTTGTTTCATTAACCGTATGTAAATATGTGATTACTGTTATTATTATTATTCCTAATCATATACATTAGCATTATGGGCAGATAATTAGAAAGAGAGTCATAGCGATCATTGTGAGCTTTTGAGCTGGTTTGTCATCCTTCTCTTCTTCAATAGTAAAATGCTGTTATTTTTCTGTATTTCTTTATTTATTTACATTCATATATATCTTCTTCTTGATTAGCTTTACATTGAGTTTGAATCTTTTTTAAAAAAATAAAAATGGGAATCATTCCTCGTACCTTCCATTCCGTGAAACCATGCTTAATAAATACATGCATTTTATGTTTAAATCTAGGAAAAATCCACCGAAACTGGATTTGGTGTAGTCTGATTATTTCTTCTGGTCAATATTTCATATGGTTTTCTTTCGGAGACTAGAAATTAAATATATATGGGAGAGTGATTGGCGGCGAGATTTGTGGGATCGTTAATTTTGCGCCGCAATATCTTGTCTGAAATCTGAAAATAAAATTTAATAACGCTTCTACCATCTAAATGGATTTATTTAATTTTACCAGAAAAAAAAAGGAGTATTTATTTATATTTATATACTGTAAGTAATATGTGCTCTTCGTCCTTGCTTTGCTCTTTATTAGCATTAAATAACGTTGACTGTCCTTCCGAGGAATATTCAAATCAGAAGTTAAAATTCAATTTAGTCTTCGACTATAGTAGTTTTTTTCGATTTAGTCTTAAACAATTTTTTTGTGCTTAATTAGGTTTTCGATTTTGATGATTTTACTCAATTGAGTTATCGGCTGTTAGAATGAATTGAATTACTAAATCAAGAAAAATCACTATAGTTGATGATTAAATTGGGTAAAATTATTATAGTCAATGACTAACTTGGGTAAATTATTATATTTGAAGACTAAATTGGATATTAATAGATGTGAAATTACCAAACTATCTTAATAGATGACTGAATTGAGTAAAATTATCAAATTCGATGACCTAATTAAGTACAGGAAGTCGTTTAGGACTAAATCAAGAAAAATCACTATAATCGATGACTATATTGGGTATTAACTCTTTAAATCACGGTATGCATCAACTTGTATATTAAACTTGACTATCAAATAACAAAAATTAAAGTTTAAAACTAAAAGTGAAAATATTATTAGAGTCGAGAGACCAAAAGTATATTAAACTTGACTATCAAATAAAATTATGAATAATACTAGTTTTTCACCCTTATTTCACCTACTACTAACCTGGCCAAAAAAAAAAAAAAAAAAAAAAAAAAAAAAAAAAAAAAAAAACCTTTATTTAATACTTGTAATTGGTTGATATTATTTTGCATTAAAAAATGAATTTACTCATTACTCAAGTTTTTTTTTTTTTTTTTGAAACCCTCATTACTCAAGTATAAACAAAACCAATCACAAATTGCTGGGAAGGAGATGCATATTAAGATTTGAAATTAGAAGAGAATGTATCATCACTTTAAAATATATTATATATATGATAAAAATTATAGCATTGTCTTTTAAAAGATAGTCCGAAGACTTAACATAATTAGCCAACATCACAATTTCACATAGGCAAGTGTGAAGTGTCAATTGTTACTGTAAATGAAACAGATCAGAATTAAATGAAGTGGCCTTAATTGCACATTATTTATATCATTTTTTTAAGGAGAAATTTTCCTTAAAGAAAAAGGCCTCCCTATTATTGTAGATTTGTAGTACTGAACTAATTCTTATAGGGTATACATATATGACATTGGTCCTATTGCTTTATTATTTATCCGTGACTTGCCAATTACTCCGTATCATTTTTTTTTTTTATATAACGAACATTTAATATTAAATGTTGTTGAGTGTATTATTATATTATATTATATGAATAGTCAAATACCATGCATTATTTTCAAACAAAAAAAAAAAAAAAAAGACCATGCATTACATAATTAAATAAATATTCAATAACAAGTAACAAATTAAAATACGAGGAGAAAATAACAATATAAATTCAATAAACAAAGAAGAAATGTAAAAATAGAACTAATTTATTATATATAATATAAATATACAACTTAACACTTCAAATAATTACACCAATACATTTTTTATTTTGTTATAACTTTAACTTCAATGGCTTTTATACAAGTTTAGGGTGTGTTTGGTTCATGGGTTTAGGAATGAGAATTAAAATTATACTTAGTGTTTGGTTGACAACTTTTTAAAACACAATTATGAGATTTAATTACCCGGAGCCTTCAATTAAAAATCTCATTCCCTAATTAAAAGGGAGTATCATTCCATCAATTGGTAATCTAATTTTTAAGTTTGGATTAACACTTTTAGATTTTTGTTCATATTGATGCTTTGGATGTCATTATATTAGGATAAATTACCTTAAATTTTTGTTTTTGTATTTGTAAAACATTTATTCACATTATAGAGTCATACACTATCAAACATCAATATTGGTAATAATCAAAGTCCACCCTCCTACCAAACATGTAAAATACTTTCACCAAAACTCATTACCATTATCAAGTATTTGATTCTCATGTGCGAACCAAACACGCCCTTAGATTTTGGATTACATGTTTACCTGTGGAGCCTAGCCTTGATGTTAAAACATTGTATATGTAAGACTCATATGTTAGTTTAGTATAGGAAAAAAAATCCAGTTGAAATACACCAAAATGTTTAATATATTATATATTGTCATCTTAATACAAAAATTAACTTTAACTATTGCACATACTGTCATACTGACATAAATATACATACGTACTATTCTGAATTATGAATATTCTATTGAAAATATAAGACATATCAAACTATAAATCGACAATATAAAGTATAATATTTTTTTTGATACTATTTACTATGTTACAATGTATTATCATGTGACATTCTATTTTGGAGAGCTACAATTATATCGTTTAAACACAAAGTCTTTGATATATATATCAAGTACAATATTTAACTTTGGCTCAAAATCCGTCATGTATGAAAATATAAAAAAAAATATATATATATAATGTAAAGTAGGATTTAACCTTACATGGTACGTACGAAATAAATATATAGGATGGGGTAAAACAGTTTGACGGTAGCGTTAAATTAGGTCGGGATGGTTAAGGCATGGGGAGGCAAGGAAGCCAAGGGAATGGCGCATTTAATGCTGTACGTACGTGTGTGTTAGGCTTCTCGATCGTTGTCCGACAATAAATTAAGGTTGCGTTGGAATGGCGCACAACGATGTGCGAGATTGTATGTGTTGTTGTAAAATTCCTCAAAATGTTGAATCTAATTCGATTCAATAGACAATTTAGAAAGATGTAAATTACAGTTATTGTTACAAAAATCTGTCTAAGCGCTAAGCGTTTCTAGACTGAGGCAAATTATCCCTAGACGATCGTCTAAGTAGCTGACCATCTAGGCACCTAACTCGGCCAATTCGGCCGAGTTGACAATGAAATCAGCCAAATTCAATTGAATTAGCCGAGTTAACTCAGTCGAGTAGGCCTTGCTAATTTTTAAAAATTATATATCCCATGCATCTAGGCATTTTAGGTGCTAGCCTCTACTCTATCGTTCCACTAGCGCCTGCTACAACCATGATTACAGTAACGTGAGCACAAAAAATTTGTCTACTTTAAATATAATTCTCACAGTGTGATTATTAATGAGTTTTGAATCTTGATCACTTTTCTCAAATACTATTTACTGAACTAATGAGTTAAATCCGTAAAAACACTTTGACAGTGTTGTTGTAGACTTGTACTCCCAAATTGTGTATGTATGATTGTCCATCAGTAACAAGTAGTTCCGTGGCGTGCTACATACATACCGTCACACACTGCATATCTATGAAAACACTATGAGCATCCCAAAAATGCAATAGATTTTATTCTACTTTTGTAACTTTGATGGGCACAATAATTTTGAATTCTTTTCATTTTTACTCCACAAATATTATTTTTGCCACGTTTGATAATTGATACATCACAATCTCTTTTTTTTTTTTTTTGTCATATTAATTTATTTTTATCAAATTTAACGTAGAAAACAATCATAAGGTGTCAAATTATTTTCAATTCAGAATTATGCGGGCTCAAATACCTCTATACTTTTCAAAAGAATGTGTAGTTTTGATATGAAAATGTGACGTATTCAAGTTGTTTCTTATCAAGGATTTCAAAATAACTAAATATGTCAATAAAAAATGAAAAACTTGTACCAAATGTGAAACAAATAAAACTTATAAATATTTGTTTTTGCAGCTTAGTAATCATGGAACAAAAGTGAAACTAATTCCTAAAAGGGCATTTGGCCCAATGAATATTTTGAAACAAATCTATATTATTGAATACAATATAATATCGGGTAAAAAACTTGAATACAGTAAAACTTACCTAAAAAGAAAGAGCGTAAGAAAGGAAAGGAAAAGCGAAACAGAAAGGTGAAAAGAGAGATGAATATATGGGGAAGTGATGTTCATCTCATGAAAGGTGGTAACCTTTTTTCATATCATTGATTGATGGATCATCTATCGACTATCATCATCTTTCTTGTTTTACCTTTTTATTTTTCCCCCCTTTATTTTCTTTGGATTATAGATTCTCCTCCGCCCCTTTGGTTTAAATTTTAAAATGATGAGAAAAAAGAATGATGATTGGGGCTATTGGGTTTACAATATTTTTTGAATCATTTTTATGATGACAAGCTATGATAACCATAAGATATGGTAAACCCCCTTTTGTAAAGGCCAAAATCTTTATTGTGCTTTGATGAACCAAAACTTCTTTAGGGGATGGGACAGTGCACAATATATGATTATATGCATGCTCGATCATACAGCTATACACGCTTGTATATATATTGTGTATACTATACAATTTTAGATTTATATACTTACTGTATAGTAGGGATAATTTTGCCTAATAAAATTAAAGTGTACAACATTTAAAGTAAAATGTATATCTTTATTAGCATCTCACGGAACTAAATACATAAAGATAATTTTTTTAATGTGCAATCAAACACTGAAAAATTTTAAAAAATAACTCATTTTCTTAAAAATATTTTTCATAAATTATTTTCATACTTTCTAAATCTACCCTAAATATGTACCAAATTTAATTTTTTTTTTTTTTTTGAAAATCAAATTTAATTTT